GGGGGGGGGAGAGAGAAAAAAAAAGGGATTTAATTGGATCGAGGAAGAAGAAACTGCCGCCATAATAATGTCAAGGATCCCCATATTTCAAAAGGGGAAAAGGCAGCCACCCCAGTTATTTAAAAATATGGATTTTTTTTAACACCCATGTATGGTTTCCGCTGAACGACACACAGCCTGCCTGAGCTATCAAGGGAGAAAGCAGCCTCCGTAATAAAGTTGATGATCCATCAGTGAAAATGTGTTTTAAAAAAATCACCGAATGTTTTGCCTTCTGAAGATCCCTCGATGAACACTTGTTTCCGAAGAGAAAAAACAAGCCACCATGGTTAAGCTTCTTTAGAAATAGGAGCTGAAAAATCCATCAATTTATTATTATTGAAAGGGATTTGTGCCTCCTGGGGTTGAGCTGTGGATGCTGCCGGCGAACAAAAATAGCAACTTCTGAATGGAAAAACTGGTGAAGAGAGAAGAGAAATGTGCATTTTTGGGGAAATTCCCTTATCAGGGCATCCGGAAGGGAAAGGATTAAAAATAACTCGTGTCTTCTGGAGGAAGCAACCTGCTCACATCATTGAAAATGGACTTTTGTAGCTTGGCGACTATTTGTGGGAAGTTACTGGAAATGTTATTCAGCTGGACTTTTGGGTCTGAAGCAAGACTTTGAAGGGATAAATGTCAGTATCTGATCCAATTTTTGTTAAAAAGAATAAACCTGTTTTCAAAAATCCATGGGGCTCATTCTATTTCTGGACAGAAATGCAGTTTAATCTTGAAAATGGAGAGACAGACCTGGGCCTAAATACGGTTGCGATTCCAGAGTAGACTAGACACACTCAATTAACTGCTGAAAAGGCAACAGTTTTATAGACCACACTGATTTAGTGAGTCCACGCTCATGGAGAACAACCGTATTTAGACCCAGGCTTGGAGGATCTGTCTTGTTTTCCACTGTCAAGCAGAGATAACTGTACTTAAATGGAGAGACAGACCTGGGCCTAAATACGGTTGCGATTCCAGAGTAGACTAGACACACTCAATTAACTGCTGAAAAGGCAACAGTTTTATAGACCACACTGATTTAGTGAGTCCACGCTCATGGAGAACAACCGTATTTAGACCCAGGCTTGGAGGATCTGTCTTGTTTTCCACTGTCAAGCAGAGATAACTCTACTGGTGCAAATCAAATTGCAGAATTCATATTGGGGGGTTTAAAAATTTTTTTGACTCATGGAAGTTACAAAAAAAACAGGCAAGCTTTAAAGGCCAAAGGGAGTAGGGCCTGGATAGTAAGTCTATTTTTGTCTTATTTCAGAATGTAATGTGGGAGGCATGGGATGCTGCGGACAAATAAATGGATCTCATCAAGCGTTCGATTTCAAGTGGGGCAGGCTTAGAAACATTTGGTCCTTCTCAACTGATCCATCAACTGATATCAAGTTGAACTTTGTTTTCAGTGTCAAGTAGGAAAGCGACATTGACTCAACAGCCCTCACTGATTACCATATACAATTATGTACATATTACAATAGACTCTACGCTGAATTGTATTAGCTCTGTGAAGAAAATAGCAGAGAACAGTCGGTTCAAAATACTCTGCTAAGAACAGGTTCTAATTTATTTTAGAAAGGTCCAAACAACTGTTTAAAGATCTTGTTTAACAATACTGGTGTGCGTTATTGTACATCAGTGCCCTAAAAGTTGGGCTAGCAGAATCTGAAATTACACGTTTGTCTGTAACCAAGGACTTCTGGAGCCGTGAAGAATTTGTACCTGAGTTTCAGGAAAGTGTCCTCAGTATTAATACTGACCGTTGCTGGTGTTCTTTCTGCAATGCAGAAAAGGGCAGGAAAGGATCGTTCCAGTAAACACATTCGCTTCCAGGACCAGGCTGGAATTTTCCCGGCGAGAAAAGGATAGGAAGATAGTGCTACAGGATAGTGTATATTGGTGGCCAGAACCCCACTGATGATTTATACATGTGTAAGTGAAACTGGGACGTGGTGGCGTAGCGGATTAAACCGCAGAAGCCTCTGTGCTGCAAAGTCAGAAGACCAAGGAGTCATAAGATCGAATCCACGCTTGTCCCAGCTCCTGCCAATCTTGCCATTCAAAAGCATGTAAATGCAAGTAGACAAATAGGTACCACCTCGGTGGGAAGGTTACGGCGTCCCATGTCTAGTCGCACTGGCCACGCGACCACGGAAACGGTCTTTGGACAAACGCTGGCTCTACGGCTTCGAAACGGATGAGCACCGCGCCCTAGAGTCAGACACAACTAAATGTCAAGGGGAACCTTTACCTAAGTGAAAATGCATTAGGCTTGGTGGCAGATTTTGCCAACTGAATTAGACGGGTGAGCAGCTGGCACCGTACGATGTGGCACGCAACACCCGTGTTGTTTTTAGGGGCAATCTGCGATCACGGCTTGTGACATTTCACTTACATGTGTGTAAATCCCAAACGGGATTCTGGCCCTTCTTTCCTCTCCCTCCTCAAGTTGCTTGGCTGAACGTAGGAAGCGACTTTTTCACTCTCCAGTGGGTGCAGAACAAACTCCAGGCCTGAAAAGCCCTATTGCTAGTAAAACTGATTGCAGTGCTGATTTTTTTTTCCTTCCTGCAGCACCTAGCCATTGGGTCCTGGCTCTACCCAGACCAAACTCAAATAAAGGCATTTACTCGCCCAGGAAAAATAGCAGGGATTGTTTCAATAGCAACAGTAAAGCCAAACCTTTCTGCTGCATCTCGAATCAATACCCAGGCTCCAAAATGAAAGGAACGATGACTGACCCGAGGTACCGATGAACAAGAGAACCAAATTAGTCTTACTTTCTGTAGCGAGGAGAAGAGGAAGGGAGGAAAACCCACTCAGCAACTCGTGCCTGAGGAGTCTTTGAAGCTACACGAGGCTCTTGGGAGTAAAGCTGGAAACGTGACACAGGAAAACGGTCACACCAAAGCATCCTGCTCACAAAACGTCTACTTTTCTTATCCTGGCGCTAAAAAAATTCTGCCCAAGAAAGACGTCTATATACGTAATTGGCTAAATCAATAATGATGCCTTCTTTAGGTTAAGGGGCCAGGCTGGCTGGTTTCCCATTTCCAAACATGCAGGACGTGGTCGTAGAAGGAGCACGTGGCCAGCAGGCTGGTCTCTCTTTGGGCTTTGACGGTTTCAGCTTCGCTGCTTCCTTTGGTGTCTGGATCTTTCCCATCGGCGCACGGTCGCTGCTGGTCACCACCACCTCCATCACCTTCTGCCTGGACCAGTGGGGCAGGCGTCGGGTCCTCCTCGTCAAGCATCACGTCAAACGTGGCTGTCGGGGATTCGTAAACTATCTTGAGGTTCTGGACCTTGAGGTCCACATTTCCTGCCTCATGCTCCGGACCAGCCGCCGGCATCGCTGCCGATGGACCGAAGGGGCGGGTCAGGGGAAACCGAGACCAGTCCGCTCCGTAAGCCAAAGAATTGTGCAGGACGTAAGATGAAAGAATACGGCAGTTTTCTTCGTTCAGGGCTAACGGGCAGAAAAAGACGACAACCCGTCAGGCAAGAGACTAATTAAGAGGGCACCGATCCCTGCTCTGTTTGTAATTTTAAATTAATTTATACTTCCCAGAGTAGTTTAGGCAGGTTACTCTGCAAACCTTACTTTCAAGAGCGAGCAATGAGCATTGTGCGCATAAGGAGTATTTGAATACTATATTTTCCCCATGGGCACCGAAGGATCAAAGCAAGGCCTAATTCACCTTCTTTTGCACGATGTAACAGAAGGACGATCATGACGACAAGCCATTTTTCATAGCCGTTTTCAGAGAGCTTCCTTAATTACATTCTGATTACAGCAGGACCCCCGTATCTGCAAGGGATCGGTACCAAGCCTCCCCCTAGCAGATGCTTAAAAATGTGGATTTTGGCAAACACTATTTTAATAGCAAATTGCCTCCCTCCTTAATACTTTCAGGCCATGGATACGTGAATCACTGGAAACTGATCTTGCAGATAAGAGGGTCCTATGTTGCTTAAAAACCCTTCTATGGTTTCCTTGGGCTGTTTATCTCCAGCATTTGATCTCAACAACTAAGTCCAGCGAGGAGCGTCTGAACAGCCTTCAATTTTCACGTTGAGCCCTGGCTGTTCGAGGCCAAGGCTGATGGCTCCAACTCTCCTTGCTTCCTTCCGTGCTTACTCTCCAGATCACCCTTACTCACCCATGCACCCCTGGCAGTCAAGGATTTTGAAGCCGCTGTGCATGCAGGCGGCCAGCAGGAAGCGTTCCCGTGTCGGATGCCACTTCAGCCTCCAAACGCCTCCCTGCACGTGGGTGTCCGCCAACGGCTGCTTCATGTTCCGGGTGTCCCACAAAAGGACGTGCTCATCGTAGCTGGAGAAACACGGGGGCCGGGTTTAAAGCAATGAACTACGGGTAGCTTTTCAGTTTGCAGGTTCCTAGGAAATTATTTTATACTAGGATCCCTGTATCTGTAGGGAATTGATTCCATGCCGCTGCGGATGCTGAAAACAGTGGATAATAGGAAACGCTAAACACAGCATGGTAGAAGAAAGAAAAAAAACTGAAATATGTTCAACATTTTTACTAGAACTCCTACTCCGATTCCTCTGTACAATCTCTCAGCAAAGAGCAGGCAAAGAGCTGTTCTTCCTCATCCTATCTATGAGATACCGTAGATTTGTATAAACCGAATATTTCGCCATCCCTGGGTTAGAGAGTTTTCAAGGGAGGCTCACCTTCCTGTGGCCAGGAGATTCTCCCGCAGAGGATGGCTCTGGATACTGCAGACGCCCATGGAATGCCTGCAAATCACAGACGAAGTGTCACGGAAGATTTATCCCCCCCCTGCCCGGTTCACCTGCGCTCAGAGGCCTCTCCCAACAAAGGCAGGTGAGGTCAGCAACGCCGTTTTACCTGGCGGGCTCCGGCTTACCTCTCGCTGCTGAAGGTGGGGCGTCCTGGGTGGCTCCGGGTGTCCCATCCTCGAAGTCGGCTGTCATCGCCACCTGAAAAGAGAGACGATGGAGCTGCGTGGCAGGGAACGGCTCAGGCGCACCTGGCTTCTCCAGCAAACATGGAAGCATCGCCCGCTAAGTGAGGAGCTTGAGGGCCAGTTCCGAACCTCCATGCTAGCGCCTGGACCGGAACACGAACCTCAGGCCACAAACTAGGAACGGATTGATTCCCCTTCTCCGTACCAGCAAGAAGTAGCTCTCCGTTAAAAGCCGTTTCCTGCCAGCGCCAGCTGTCGGGAGAGCTTATTTCTGCACCGAAAGAGCTGGAGTGCATCTCTAAAGCATCAATCTTATTATAACGTTTAATTTTTAAGATATTTATTTAGCATTTTAAACTGTGTTTGTTCAACTGTTGCGAGCCACCCTGGGTTCCTTATGGGGAGACAGATGGCATATAAATGATAAACACTGCATATACCCTCTAATTAATGACAGAAAATTAAATTAGAAGGCCTGGAGACGTAGCAGAACATTTATATATCTTTATGTGTGTGTCTGTGTTGTTTTGTCTAGGCCCCTACAATTTTAATTTTGCGCCTGAGAATTTAGGGGTAGCTATATTATTTATTTTTGCTGTTAACCCCCACCAGTGGTGCCTTGCACTAATTCGGGCAGAATATAAATGTATTAAATAAATAAATGCAGATCAGGCCAATCATGGGGAAGCTAAATGGTGTTCTCCCCTTGCAGGGGAAGAAAGAGACCGACAGGGATGGCCGACGGTCAATTCACGTCACTGTGAACGGCCTTTTAAAAACTCTGCTCATGTTCCTCGGAGTCTCCTCTAATGCAAAAACGCACAACAAGGGGGCAACACAGCCGTAAAGCTCCAGGACCCAAATGAGAGAGTAAATGTGCACCTGAATACACAACACACGTGTTCCAGTAGTCGAAGGCCGCGATCCAGGCTTCAGCGTCGTGCGCCTTCCACTGCTCCGAGATGCGTACGGAAGGGGACGACGCGTCGAAGGTCAGCAGGCTCAGCCTCCCTTTGGAATCGCTGGAGATCAGCTTCAGAGGGCCAGCCCTGCTGAAAGCCAACAGGGAACCTCTTCGTTTTCACCCAAGGTAAGTCTTGCTCGTCTGTTTCAGCAGGTAAACCCAGAGCCCCACAGGAAGCGCGAGCAGAGTTCCCCCCCCCGCCCCCACAACCCTCGTCCGGCTCCTCACCACTGCGCTCGTCCGGCGGACCAGTCCAGGGACAAAGCGAGGCATTCCCCTCCCAGTTCGACGGTGCTCAGCGCCTCCAGCCTGCAGCTCTTCTGCTACTGGAGGGAAAAGCGAACTGATCAAAGTCGGGCCGGCTCAAGATGGGAACATCTCATTCGACACTAACGAGAGACACCGGGCGGGATCACACCATACGGAAAGTGTCTACAGCCCAACGCCGGCCCCCTCAGCTTACAAAGAGGGATGAGCACCGGCCCCTAGAGTCGGAGACGACTGGACTTAATGCTCAAAGGGAGCCTTTATTTTTTACTTACTGTATATGCACCAGGAGCCAGCCTCACTTTAACACTTTTGTTTTCCTTTTGTGTAAACATTGCACTATTTAGCGCTATAAGTATCATCACCATCATTTCAGGACTGCAGTTCTAAGGTGATGGATGATGATTAAAAAAACGACCACGGCCCACAGAGAGAGATCTCCCCGCCCCGTCCACCTGGGAACAAAACTTCTCCGCCACACGCCACGCCTTCGCTCCGTTCATCTACCTCGTTTCCTATCAGATGGAAGAAGTCCACGTTTCCCTTGGCATTCGCAAGGCCCAGAACAGGCCGGCCAGCGATGGGAACGCGGCACCTTCAATGGAAGAGAGGAGAAATGTCAGCCGATGGTATTTCTAGGTTATTTCTTTTAGCATTCAGTATTCACGGTTTTTCATCCTTCCCAAGAGGGCTTGGAACTAATCCCCCACCAATACGGGGAGTCTACTGTCTATCAGTAAGATAAAGAAATATAAAGAAACTTCCTTGACCACCAGTAAAAGAAGCCGTCCTTTGGTGACTGCGTTGTTCTTCCTACTCAGGAGCAGTAAATGAGATATTTTGGATCCTGCAGAGGTGGCAAAAGATCCAGGTGAGGCTGTCCTCACTGAGATGCAATCTTTCAGTCAACAGCCTGAGAAAGTTCCCAGTCTACTAACGGATCGTCCTTTCCAGGATAGTTCCTGGGAAGACATACCTGTACATAAACCACTGTCTCGCTGTGAGGTTCCACAGGCTCGGAAACATCTCCTTCCCTGCTTTAAAAATAAATTAATACGCCTTCGCTCCGTTCATCTACCTCGTTTCCTATCAGATGGAAGAAGTCCACGTTTCCCTTGGCATTCGCAAGGCCCAGAACAGGCCGGCCAGCGATGGGAACGCGGCACCTTCAATGGAAGAGAGGAGAAATGTCAGCCGATGGTATTTCTAGGTTATTTCTTTTAGCATTCAGTATTCACGGTTTTTCATCCTTCCCAAGAGGGCTTGGAACTAATCCCCCACCAATACGGGGAGTCTACTGTCTATCAGTAAGATAAAGAAATATAAAGAAACTTCCTTGACCACCAATAAAAGAAGCCGTCCTGTGGTGACTGTGTTGTTCTTGCTACTCAGGAGCAGTAATTGAGATATATTGGATCCTGCAGAGAAGCCCTTTGGGTCGGTTTTTTAATATTTTCAGACCATGGATACATGCATCAGCTGATCCGGTAGATACAGGGGTCTTACTATACTAATAACAAGAGGATTGCATTGTCTGTTGCTACTTGAAGCACACTGCCTCTTTAAAAAGGGGTGAAAGCATGCACATCCACCATTGTTCTCATAGACGCATCTTCCTAAAAACGTCCCCAAGAAGCCCTTTGGGTCGGGTCTGAGCATCTGCACCCAGCGTTACCATTTAACGTCCAGCACAGCCGCCATTTCCAGCCTCTGCAGCTCAGTCAGCGGCGCGAAAGCTTGTTCCTCAAAGGAATACACGTAGAGGCGACCCAGACGGACATGAGGCTCGTTGTTTTCCTCCGGATTTTCGCCAGGCTGCAAGAGGGAGAAGAATGAGCAGGTTGCCGTGCAGGATTTTCCCTACCATCTTTTTCTTTCATTCCGTAGTAGGGGAACCCGCAGGTCAGAACTGGAACACTAAAGCCATCATTTCTTCTAATTTTTTTTACATTTAGACACCGCCCCGTTGGTGCAATGCGCTATTTCTAGGTTGGTTTACAAGAAAACAAACATAGGAAAAGAACACAAATATAACGATAACAGTTAAAACAATTTGACAATTTGCAGCATAAAACCAAAGGGGCACAGGAGATCATTTTCCCTATTAAAGCAGGACAAGAGGTGTACATTCAGCTAGTGTCGGTGCGGACAGCTCCCCTGAAAAGCAGCATTTAAAGTCCATTTATCTATTTAAATGGTGGTTGATTTTTTCACCCTGCCTTTCTCCTCCAAGCATAGCTCCTTTGGGAGCTGGTTCCATAAGGCCGGGGCCACCCCCAAGAAGGCCCTGCCTCTCGGGGACGACTCGCAGGCGGCCCCTCGGGGTGGCAACGCAGAGGAGCCCCACCCGGGAGGATCGGGCAGAAGAAACTGGGAAAAGATGCCCCAACCGGTAACACGGTCCCAAACCGTCAAGGGCTTTCTACGTAAGCATCGAAACCTTGAACCTGATCCGGGACGCGACGGGTCGCTAGCGGAGATGAAAAACATAAAAACACAAAATAAATCTTATTTTACCTGATCCGGGACGCGACGGGTCGCTAGCAGAGATGAGAAACTGCAAAATATATAGCTTCCAAGCTTTATCCGGGAGGTATTATTATTATTATTATTATTATTATTACGAGCTTTATCCGGGATGTGCGAGCCGTTGAGTCTTTCAATGATCGACGCCGTTAACCCTCTTTCCTGCGTGAAGCCCTTTTGCTCACCTTAGTGTCCGGTTTCTTCAGCTGGTAGGTGCCGCATGCCAGGATGCCGTGCCAGCCTTCCACGGGGCACCACTCCGTCGCGTCCGCCGTGTATTCGGTGTCTACCACTTGCAACGTCTGAATCTTGCACTCTGAAGCCATGTCAGAGCACGCTCATCCTGGTCTGGAAGGAAAGGGGAAGCAAAACGGTCAACAACTCTGCCCTTCTGATTTAAAACAAAACATTTATCACGTGGTATAGTAGGACCCCCGTATCCGCGGCATCGGTATCTGCTGATTCACTTAGCCACGGGCTGAAAATATTTAACCTATTCAAAGAAAAATCACCAAGTTGCTTCCACTCTAGGCTGACCATTATGAACAAGCAATCTCCAAAGTGTCCTGGCCTCAATAAACCCTCTTGCCTATGGCTTCCTTGAGTGAGTCAGTCCATCTCGTGTTATTGGGTCTTCCTCTTTTCCCGCTGCCTTCCACTTTTCCTAGCAAGAGGGTCTCTTCCTGCCTTCTCAGGAGGTGCCCAAAGTAGGGCCGCCTCAGTGCCAACGTTTTTGCCTCTAACAAAAGTCAGAACGCCTCTGATCCACAGATGCCCTCCGACAATTTCACACAAATATTTGAGAAGAATTAAATGGATATGATAGTAAAATGCTGAATACAACCAATATTTAAAAATACATTTGAAAACAAGGCACCACCGCCCGTTTAAAAACCCCTTTCAGGCAATTGCACACCGAAGGCCCAACCGGGTGCAAGAGGGGTCTCGCCTGAAGGGGGTTGAGAAATCCCGATCCTATAATCTGATTCGGGATTATAGGATTACGACCCTCCCCCCTTTTTAAAGCATCTCAACATAGCATTCAATGCCTTAAAATACCCTCCCCCAGGGATGAGTCCTCTAGCAGCGCCTTGGGATCCTAATGCATCTCAATATAGCATTTAATGCCTTAAAATAACCCCCCCCCCAGGGATGGCTCCTCTAGCAGCGCCTTGAGATTCCCGTTTCAAGCAGGGGCAGGCCTGCACAAAGACTTACAAGTCCCATCATTCCTCCCTCTTGGCTGGGGGAGGTTGATGGGCGCTGGAGTCTGCCCTTCCACCTGGGGAGGGGGGGCCATCCTGCCTTCAGCCCTGGTTGGAGCACAAGGAGGGCTGGACTCCAAAGCCCATCGGCTCTTTGGTGCAGCAACAGCAGCACCACCTGGGCCGGGAGGATGGGAACCGGAGTTGCCCGCAGAAAGGCGGCTGGACTCCAAAGCCCATCGGCTCTTTGCTGCAGCAACAGCGGCACCGCCTGGGCCGGGAGGATGGAAACCGCAGTTGCCCTGCCGTCCCAATCAGAAAGGCGAGAATATGATAGATAGATAGATAGATAGAGAGAGAGAGAGAGAGACAGACTGATTGATTGATTGATTGATTGATTGAGGCACAGCCGCTTTCCAGGCAGGGCCCCCATCATCCAGATCCTTTTGTTTCCAAAGCTGCCTTTCTCAAAGAGCCTCCTCCTCCTTCCCCCCCCTTCCCAAAGACCTCGAAAGAGAAAGACCAGATTCTTCTCCCC